GCAAGAAGACGCAGAGATGGCTGGCGTTCTTACTCGACACAGTCAGTCGACTGAGCCTGCGCTGCCTCTATATCCCTCCAGCAAGGCTCCCGTTCCCGCTTCGGGAGATGACAAGGAGAACCAGCCCAGCGCCCCGGTGGTCTCCGTTCCAGCTCCGGCCCTGAGCCGTATGAGCCTGGAATCCTTCGGTCGGCCGCGATCATCAGCCTCCATCCCCCAGACCACGCTCACACCTCTCAGCGAAAGGCCTATGCACCAGATGCTAATGGATCAGGCATTGGATATGGTAAGCAGCTAGACCGACCAGCAAGTCCCCTCATAGCAATGGAACACCCCTAATATCGTATCCAGGCTCGACTAGCACTGCGCACCAACGAGACGCCCGTTGGCTGTGTCCTTGTCCACAACGGATCGGTCATTGCGAGAGGCATGAATGCCACGAACGTAACCCGGAACGGTACCCGCCATGCTGAGTTCATGGCATTGTCTGCACTGCTGTCCTACCGACCCAACAATAGTGAGGAGGCCGTCGAGGCTCAGCTTCGCCAACAGGCCAGCGAACGTTCCAAAGTAGATGTTCCTGACGATGAATCGGATCTGTTCCCGGATGACGACGAGTATGTCAGGAAAGGTCACCTCTACCCTTACGGCCAGAAGCTTCATCTCGATCCTCGGGTCGACCGCTCAATCGTCAGAGAGTGCACTCTTTACGTTACAGTCGAGCCCTGTGTCATGTGCGCCGGACTTCTTAGGCAGCTTGGGATCAAGAAGGTCTACTTTGGCGCTGTCAACGACAAGTTTGGTGGAACTGGCGGTGTATTCAGCATCCACAAGAACTCTACAGACACCCGCCAAGACCCCAACCCAGTCACTGTTCTCAGGCCGATCCAGATCAATGCATCCAACGCTCCAAGGCCGGCAAGCTCTGCGTCGGGAAAGAGTTCCCTCAACAGCAATCGTCCCGCGAGCCGAGGTGGCGATGGCGGAAACGTCGAGCCAGGTTTCGAAGCAGAAGGTGGTTGGGGCCGCGACGAAGCTGTCGGTTTGCTGCGGAGATTCTACGTGCAGGAGAATGGAAGAGGTAAGTCGTTGATTAAAGGGGGCCATCGAGAAGCTGTAAGCTGACACCTTCTCTAGCACCAGTGCCGCGCAAGAAAGAAGGCCGCGCTGCTAGGTTGGCAGCCATGGAACAAGCTGGAGGCGAGGGCGGAACGCCTATGCCATCCGAGGCTTTTGACGTCGCTGACGGCGACGACCAAGGTGCCGCTAGTAATGGTGCTTCAACCGTCTCCAATGGCAGTAAAGAGAGGGACGAAGCTTGAGTGCACCGCTGAGCATTTTCAAAAAAAGCCGCACGCATTACATACTACGGGGATTGATCATTACATGGGGTTATCAACACTGATGGGACGATCCATCATTTATCTTAGATTGGTTCTATTGTACTTTCAACGAAAGGCAACTAATAATAGACGAAGATGCATCATCATTCGGGTATCCTATCCAATTCCCCAATGTGGTACTCAAATGACTAATATCCCACAAAACTCCTCGAAAAAGACTTCTTTTATTCCGCTCATGACGAGGACCTGTCACCATGGGGGGTGATGGTCTCTCCAATCTCCTTGTCCTTGCCGGTGACAGAGCCGCCCTGCTCAGAGCTGATGGTCTTCTCCAGGGGCTGGGGCTCGGAAGCGGCATGCTGGTGTTCATCAGAGCGCCAGAAGTCCTTCTTTCCCTTGAACGCGCGGCGGACCCAAGGCGGCAGGATACCGCCAGGAATGCGCCAGGTCCAGGGGTCCTTCTCGTTCTTGTTATACGGAACGATGCGGCCACCGGAGACCTTCTCGATGACCCAGACAAGGCCGTTGATGAGGATGTAACTGCAGACACCACCGATGAGGCCGTCGGCAATAGAGTAGGTGAAGGGCATGAGTGCGAGGGTGATGAAGGCGGGAACGGCATCACCCATGTACCTCCAGTTGATCTCAGTGACAGCGCGTACCATCATGGATCCCACGAGAACCAACACGCAGCCGGTGGCCCACGAGGGAATGGAAGCGAAGATGGGAGCGAAGAAGATGGAGATGAAGAAACAGATACCGGTGACCATGGCAGTCAGACCGGTCTTGCCTCCCTCAGAAATACCGGCACCGGACTCGACGAAGGCAGTGACGGGGGGAGTACCGAAAAGGGCACCAACGGAGATGCTGAGGGCATCGACCATATAAGCGACGGATGAGCCCTCGAAATCCTGAGTCTCCTCGTCGATGAGGTTGGCGAAGCGGGCCATGGAGTAGAGGGTACCTGTGCAGTCGAGGATGTCGACATACAAGAAGGTGATGAGGGCGAGGCCGAAAGCACCGCTGTATCCTCCGACGTTCCACTCTTGGACGTTGAGGGTCCTCTGGATCGGGTGGAAGTCGACAACCTTCTTGAAGAAGTCAAAGTTGGAGTCGCCGATGACGGTGTCAGGGAAGTAGGTGACAGAGGTGTTACGGGGCCAGGAGATGATGCTGACGAGGATGATTCCGGCCAGGATGGCGCCCTTGAAGCGGTACATCATGAGCATGACTGTGAAGATACCACCGCAGAAGATGCCGATCCACATGGTGGGGTTGCGCATCTTGGTCGAGGACGGGCAGAGACCGTCAACCTGCTCGCTCGCGATGCAGCCAGCCAACTCGAGGGGGGTGGAGGTGGCGCCGACAATCAGACCGATACCCTCGCTGTAGGTGAGACCGATGAGGGTGAGGAAGAGACCGATACCGACACCGGTGGCGAGCTTGATGGAGCGGGGGATGGCGCGAGCGAGCCATTGACGCAGACCGAGCAGGGCGAGGCCGAAGAAGATGAAGCCCTCGATGAAGATGGCGGTAAGGGCGACCTGGTAAGGGACGGCACCGGTTCCGTGGTAACCGACGACGGAGTAGGCAAAGTAGGCGTTCAAGCCCATACCGGGAGCGCAACCGACGGGCATGTTGGCGAGGAGGCCCATGAAGAAGGTAGCCAGGGACGAGATGGCGGCGGTGGCGGTAACGATGTCGCGCTTGACCTCTGCCACGCAGAGCATGTAGTCCTGGTCCTTGTCACAAGTGAAATCGTCGGCGTTGCGCGGGCAGACGCAGGTACCGCCGGAATCGGCGACGATGGAGGAGTTGACGGCGATAATGTAAGCCATGGCGAAGAAGGCGACGAGACCGGCGCGCATCTCGGTGAAGAAGAGTGATCCCTTGCGCTCACGGGGCTTTTTTCATGATATGTTAGCATACTTGTCACGCATCATCATTGCGACACCTTGCCCTGCGCGCTTTGCGCAAAGAAGCGGCGGCCGTGTGGTCATGTCGAAGGAGTTGTGGTGGGAAGTTGGGGAATTGGCGACTTACATGGCCGGAGCCCTCAAGCTGGAACCACCGACCGACCGGGCCGGCGGCGATCTTGGCGTTCCATTTCTGGATGAACCCCATTTTTGCACGAAATTTTTCGTCCTTTCTTTACTTTTCCAGTCCGCAATGTTTCGAATGGCGATAAACGGTTGGGAATAGGTAGTCTTGCCAAAGATAAGAAATATTATCGGCAAGGACTTTAATAAATAAAAGAAATGTGACCCGAGATCTGATCGATGTTGACAAAGCCCGAGTGAGATTGCGGCGCGGATGTCGAAGATCTGAGCTGTAGAGAAAAGCAAGTCAAAGCAAGACAAGCCGAAGCCGGGCTTCTTAACTAGTTTTCTTGACAACTGCGACAGAGCAGGGGAAGAGCCCAATCAGGGGGATGAGATGAGATGAGATAGGAATCGGGAGTGGCCGTTGAGGCACCGATTAGAGGATGCTGGACAGCGACGGGGGCGAGGATGGGAGGCGAGCCTAGAGAGACAACATCGACAAACCCAAGAGGGCGGAACGGTGGATGGTTTTTATCAATGGCTAGGACTGGCACGGGCAATGGCTCATAAACAGGATAGAGGCAACGGACCGCGCCCCCCTCCTCTTGTGGACGAACGACAACGGCCAGTCGCGTTATCAAAGAAAATCTCGAGCCATTATTTATTAGTGCGAAAGGATTATCATTTGCTGGATCACCGAAAAGGTGGGTGGGCAGCATAGCAAGGGCCCAGGCGTGGTGGATCAAGAAAAAGCTGTGTACTTTCACTTTTGCCCGGATAGCTGAGGTTGCCAAGACCAAGATGGCAACTGGGAGCTAGGATGGGCATGGGAGAGAAAGAGAGTGAGATGGGACTCAGAGATGGGCATGGGAGACGAACCGGGGGGTGGGATTCCTGAGAGTTACCCTACAAGTTACCGCGTAGACGATGGACGAAGGCGAGGCCAAGCCAAGGGTCACGGCACCCCCTTCTAGGGCCCAGCTTCCGAACCTCCCCAAAGACTAGCGCGACGCCCTTATCCTGGTCCCAGTTTTTATTTCTCGCATGCAGTCGTAACGACTTCATCGAGTTCTTGTCTCAGTCGGTGCATACACGGACGGCGGGCATGGCGTGGCATGGCATGAGATGGCGGCACCGGCCTCGAAGCGCGCGAAGCCATGTGCCGGAGAAGCTCAACTCGACTCACTGGAGTCCATAGACTGAGCCCATTGTGGGATTGTGGACACAGCCTTCTTGCTGGCACCTGCTTGTCTGCTTTAAAACTGGTCAATGGGGCCCGAATACCTTGACATGAGCTCCTCCATGTGGGCGTGAAACGTGGGACTGTGGATGCGCCGAAAAGATACATGTGGTGTACGGAGTAGGTGGCATGGCGGCGGCGGCGGCGGCGCGGCATGTCGTCCAATGGCACACACAGGCAAAGAGCAAGATATCGGACCCGAAAGATGAAAGAAGTGACAGGCCGAAAGCAGCGTTCCAGCTATCTGGATTGTGAACGGGCTTGCCCCATTCCGAAGCCAACACGCTATTCAGGGAATATGTTTACTTTGTAAGTAGAGTTGGCCCAAAAAGCTCAGACACCAACGATGGCCATGTGGTGATGAGTTGCGAGTTTCTAACCAGATACGGCATCATCAATTGGAAGTAACAGGCTGTACGGATAGCAGATGAGGGAAGCTCTGGGCCGTCGGCATGGTGGCTTCTCTAGCTGCGCTGCCTTTTGCCAGGTCACATCGATAATGCGCTGTGTCGGACGCCATTGAAGACGCCATACAAGGACAACAGCCTTTGATATTGTGGTGACTGTGAGATGGCGAAGCACAAAGAGATGGCGCTTAGGCATGAAAGATGTATCATGGATGTAGGCCGGGGCCGACGGCAGCGGAAGGCATTTGCTATTGGTAGCTGAAGGCGAGGCGAGGCAAGCAAGCCAGTCCAGGCTGCAGATGCTCCGTATTGCATGGGGAAATGGAAGGCTGTTTGGAAGTTTTGACGGGGTTCCATTTGCAATCGGGTTGTACTCGTCGTGTATCCGTATGTATTGCGTATTCTATTGATGGTATTGACTGGTGTCGGTAGTGGTTGTCCAGAGCGGCATGCTGGGCAAACATGGTTCTTGATGCGCCAGTGACAAGCAGATGTGGAAAATCTTAGCACATATCAATCGAGGGCGGGGCCAAAATGAGCGTCGCAACAAAAGTGCGTGCGTCCCCCCCCCCCCTCCCCCCGCCGGGCCTGCCCTAACTTTTTTCTTAAAGTACCTTACGGAGTAGCCTTAATAAAGTGACCCGACCAGATCCCCAGAGAAGAGAGTTGCGCAACGCGACCAGCCCAATCAACTGGCAAGAAAGGTCGGACAGGTACTGCGGCAAAAGAGCATAAAGAGACGGCAGTGGCGCACTACATCAGAAGAGGCTAAGGCAGTGTAAGTGTGCCTAAATGAATTGCGGATACATCCCGCCTGCTTCAACAGGCCGAACCTGTGGAGCTAAGGCAAGGAACTGGCCGGCCTTTTTGGTCGGTGAGTGAGCCGCCTTTACTGCGTGACTGCTCCAGAGTGTTGACGCTGGTTGTGATACTCGTACCTTAGCACGGAGTACAGTCGCTGCCTATTGCCAGGACTCAGAACCAGTGAAGGGTGGCACACCTCAAATAAGGTATGTGTTGTGCCTGTGCTCCGGACTCTGTAGAGTTTGTACAAACACCACAGAAAGTCGTGGCAAGTTGCAACAACATCACGTCGCCGGGCGTGTCAGTCAGGTCAGGTCAGGATTAAACTCAATGGAACATGCTGCTGACTTGCGCCTTACCGATCCATGCGACCTTGCGACCTTGCCTCAGCTACCTAGCTGGCTTAGATCCTGACTGCATACTATCCGGGCAAGTGTGCTCCGGTGCTACTGCACCCAGGCAAAGGCGGAAGCCGCTCAACGTTACAGGTTCCTTTCTTCTTCCATCTCAGCTGCCTTAGCACTTACACATACATACGGAGTAGCTTACCAAGGGTACTCCGGACCATAAGTTACGAATACTACGTGTTGGCGGTGTTGCACACGTTGGCAGTTGCCCGAGAGGTATGTAGGTGTCTATGTATAGGTCTTTCCCGGGGTTTGCTCTTTCCCGCTGTCAATGCTGTCGTCCCTTTCCCTTGCCGCTGTTCATTCCCTCTTCTTCTTCTTCTTCTTCTTCCTTCCTCGGCGGGAGACAAGGGGACAATGGGAAAGAACATGCGCGTCGTGCGTGATCGAGGCAACCAGCCCCGCCTTTTCCTCACACACATTGAAAAGACAGAAAACAAAAAACAAAGTACCGGGTGTCGAGGTTCGAATACCTAGGTATTCAAACATGTTCAGTTTTGCTCCTGCTCCTGCTCTGCCCCACAAGCTTGCCTTCCATTGAGTTCCCTCCTCCCGTGGCCATGGAGTCAGATACCTGCGCCGTATTACTGCAGCACGGTACCTAGGTATACCCAACCTTCTAAAGGTCTAGAAAGACGGAAAAGCTAATTAAGGCAAGATACCTGTCCTCTCACTCGATTCGACCAAACTACCTAAACCGGTCGCCCGATTGTCAGCTTCGGAAGCGGGGCTCTTGCTGAATCCGAAGCCATTGGCCGTGGCTGTGATCCACCTCCGAAGCTAGGCTCTTCTCGGGGCGAGCGGCCGTGGCCGAGCGGGGCCGCATCTGCCATCTGCGATAAGCATCCTGACCCCCCTTGGTCGGGGGGTTCTGGCCTTTGTCAACTACCTTCTGAGTTCTGTCAACCTTATCAGCCACTCCATCCATAAGCTAATTACCATCTCCAGACCTCATCTCGTTCTAAGGCACGCAGGCACCAGGTCCTCGTGTTTTCCATTGCCTCGGTCCCAAGGTTTCTTGAACTGCCAGTCTGTCCAGTGACGATGGTCACGTATGCGAATTCACAGCGTCTGCCCGCCTCTTTGGTCAACTTCATTGATGGTCAACGAGATACCCATGTCACGATCGAAATCTGCCAAGCCAACTAACCCGCGTCCACCACATTGTATCGAATGTCTCACTTTTTGGCGCTCCCATTCCTTAGCCTTATGCTGAACCAAGCTGCCTCGCACAAGCTCACCTTCGAGCCGTCTGTTGATTCTCGATCAGCCACGAAATTCTTCATGAGAGTCAAATGCGCACTCGGCCGCCGCCCAGCTCGGACAGCGGCGCACCTGCCCACCACCACGAGGTTTATCAAGTCTGGACCTTCCGCACCGTCGACTTGACGACTCTAGTTCGGACGGAGTAAGGAGTGCACTTTCACGGTCACCGGTCTGCTCCATTCATCGGTCAGATACGTTCAGTTGGCGTCAGCAGATAGCCAATCTGGTGCCTCCCATCCGTCTGGGCGATAGGAATCCCCCGAACCCCCCCCCCCCCCTCTTCCCAAGGCCCCGAGCTTTCCACTGATTACGACTCACGTTGACATTGCCTCCCCCAATCCGACTTGGCCCACCCCCACGACTTCCAAACAGGGGGAACAACGGCACTAACGCACCACCGCCATCTGACAGACTTGAGGAGAACCGCCCGGCCGGCATCCCCGCAAAAACCCGCCAAAGACATTGACTTCAAGGTCTCATAGACGACAGACATTCTGGGAACTATGGCTCGCATTTCTTCATCGCCAGTGCAGGCCGCCTTTGCATGGTTGAACTTAATTCCAACATGCCTTACTTCATCGGTGCTTTCTTCTTTCTGCAAAAGACCGGCAATAGGGTCTCATTGGTTGCCGGCTTGTCTTTGTCTATATGTGGCTGGCTGCTGGGCATGAGGCTTTGGAAGCCGTGGCGGTAGCCTTTGACCCAGCAAGCCAACGACAACATGTTACAGCTCCTGCTTGGCAGAGGCTACCTTCACGACATCTGATCATATACATCGCGCCCACCAAACTGCTTGCGCCGCGTCGTACGAGTTCCTCTATCACAGCAATAGTCGAGTTTGGGGGTCTGTCGTTCGTCTGATCTGGAGATCTTAGCCGAGCACAGATGCGGTGCCGTCTCGAGCTTGCGGTCACGAGTCTCCAATAGGGAATCCATCTCAGCTCATTCTGGTGGGAGATGGTACCTCGAAGCGAGGTTCGAGAGCAGCCTAATCCGTAGTGTGCCTTTGCAGTACGGTTCTAGATCACACCGAGATGAATCATTGTCGAGAAGTATTACTCCGTACCAGACAAAGAGTTCATGTGAGGACAACGAGTTCTCATGACAACAACATCTCTGTTATGCGTCGCTTGGCATCCACGTATGTTAGTCGGGCGATTGCTGCGATCCATAATTCGGCATCAACATACTGTGACAAGCCAAGCAGATGGGCCTGTCGAAGAAATAGGCGTGTTGGAGGGTACTAACCTGGAATACGTCGCATCCAGAAAGCTGGGCGAGGCCGCAAGAGACACACGACCCATGTCCCAAACGGGCCTCGTTGCTTCTCCTTATCTGCCGGGCCCAATTTTTCTTCATGTACAGAAATGCTGAAGATACGATGACCAACGCGCCAACGCAACTTCCGCAACGGCTGCCAGGCTTGCACGTGGAGTGGGTCTCTTCTTCTCGATGTCTGATTTCTATTGCATCTATGCATCCGACCCATGGATACATTACAAGAACTAATGTCGAAGAACTCGCCTTGGCCCCATTTCGCGGTCGTGACCGCACGGAGAATTAAGAATGGAGGAAGCACGAAGTCGCTACAAATACTAGTACTGGTATGGTATTGGAAACCACTATCTCGGATCCGGGCGTACAGAACCTCTCAGATTCGGACTATACCTTATGTCTCTGACACACATCGGTTATCCATAGGTTGCTTGTAGCCTCACACACCCGTCTTCCTACGACGACCACCACCGGCGTTTCGCACCACCACTATTCACTTCGTCCGATGGCTGCAATCCACTCAACAAGTTATGGCGACTCAGTCGTCCCATGGCTCCGGGACGACGGCGGCAATTACGGCAGCGGTATTCCCAAGGCAATCCCGGAACGACGGCACAAACGGTATCCACACTACCGGACGAATTCAAGCTACCGATCACGGGAGAAGCCGAGTTCCTCGCTGCCCCCCCAGCCTCCTCTAGCCCGGGCGGGGCCGTGCCGACGACGGGGTATCCGCGGCTCGCCGGGCGGGCGCGCTTCATCGAGTCATCCATCGGTTGATTCGAGACTGATGGTGAATTAAGGCAAGCCAAGTGGCGCTAAAGCCTTCACTGGGTGGTAATTTGGAGGAAACCGTCTTGTCATCCAGGCTTGCGCCTAGTGCCGTTCGTTGAGGCAACCCATCGAATCGCCCACTTGTTAGAGAACCAAGTGTGCGGGACCCCGACCGCTTGAAATTTCGCTGTGTCGAGCCGTAGCCGGCAGACCCATGTGAGCCTTCGTCAGGAACGCCAGCAATGTGCCAATTGCTTCCTCCTGGTTGGACAAATAAAGCATCGATGTTTGCGATTGACACGAGGCAGCATCGCACCCACCCTCTCGTCGGACGGTATCCGACCTCCGCAATCCCCGGTAATGGCACCAGGACCGGTGCGGGGAAACGACAGAACTTAATCCTCTCCTTGACTCTCATCGACAATCAGCGAGATCATCGTGATCCTGAGCAGCCAGGGTGACCGAGGTCGCGACTCGCCAGTCTTTGTTTGGCCCTACTTTTGCATGACACGAACGGAATTTGGTCCTCTCCCAGAGCTTTCACAGTCCACAGATGGCCACTAGAGGCGATCAAGCCCACCAGCTCCCTGGGGAGCCAGCGATATTGATGCCGTGCGCTCGATGGGTCACATTCAATTCGCATCGCGACGTCACCGATCTCTCGGGACCT